ATCTCATTATTTTTTATCATTATTTGTATATATACCGCTTCTACCACTGTAAAAAACAGATTACTTTCCTCAAGACTTGTATCGATCTGTGCATCGTTTCCATATACATATATATTTTCCTTTCTCCTTGCATATAAGGCGTATGAAAAATCTCGCGCCTTCCTACAGTTTTTATCTTAATCAAAATTCACAATTTAATGGTAGTCTTTTTAATTATTAATCTTTTTTAATAGGTGCAGCATGAATTTTGCGGCATGAATTACTTCCAATTTAACCGTTTAGATTACATATTGTTCTTTGTGTAAAACGCGTTAAAACTTGTTATAATTTTTTTTGGTTTCTAGTTTTTACATCTCGTATTACAAATATCTTTATACGAGAATTTGCGTATACTTTACTAACCTTTCTCCATTATAATGAAAGTGCGCGACATTTGATATATTCCGCGTACAATTATTAGCTTCTCTTTCTCCGTTCCTTTTTTTACAGAATAATATATTTTGTATATAAACTCTTACTCGCTAATGTATAATCTAAAACACTCTTTCTGTCTCGATAGTTACAAGTACGTGTGGCAATGAAATATCTTAATAATAATACGAATTGATCTCTTACATATGGTTTGTAGTAATATACACATGTACATTAACGTATGAAATAATTTTAATATATGTTAAATTATGTTTGAGGTCTGACAAAACCTGAATTTTCTGTATTATTCGAAACGTTTTATGTTAGAAGTAGGATGAAAAGCATTCTCAAATAGAAAGATATTCTGTTGCAACAAAAATGTATACGAAAGAATATAGCTAGAGTAGCTGAGCATCTTATACTATTATAATATTATATATTTTTAATATATAATATGTAAGAAATATAATATGTAACACACATGCTAATATATATAAATAACAATTATTGCAATCAAATTGCAAAATTCTTGTAAAATATTCTTGTTATGTTTTGTTTATCTTTTAAATTTCGAAATATCGTTTGCTCTTTATTCAATCAAGCAAACTTTTAATCAATAGATACAATTATATATTTTTTCCTAGAATAAAAATAAATTCATCATATCTCTAACATTTCACGTTGCAATGTACATGTATTAATATATAGATAGATCCATCATTATTTTATGATGGTATTTATCGATACGTAAAGATGAAGAAATAATAATAATTATAACGATAATAATAATGATAATGACGATGATAATAGAAAGTGATAACAAGTAATGATGACAGTAATAATAATAAGTAATGATGATAATGATGATGATGATGATGATAATAATAATAGTAAAAGTTGCGCGCGCGTGGGTGTATGTGTGGACGCGCGCGCCAACATATCCTACAATACTTATGATTATATATGATAATATTTCTGGCTATAAAACAAATATCTTTGTTGTATACAGGAGTATGGCAAGAAAAAATCAAGAATTTAAAACAAATGGCACAAACATTAATACTAATATAAAGCGAAAAAAAAACAATTTGATAATTACAGCAGATGTTTTCTGTCGGAAACAATCACAGTCAGTGAATATTTGCAATGGATAAATTAAAAACTATCTTAAACACACATAATTTAAAAAACTACATATACATGATGTATATATGTAGGTGTGCGTTCATACACACATACACTGTACAAATATATACGTATATACTTAAAAAATATAGCGCATATATATATATGTATATAAAATCAGTATTCAACGAACGTAACGAATATAAGTAATACAACGAAAAATATGTATAAAAACAATGTAAAAAAATCATATAAAAATTATAAAAGCTAATTAAGTTTCTATGACAAAAATGCTCAATATAAGTCACAAAAAGAAATAAGAATATACTTTAACCATCCGGCCAAATATATTGGATTTGCCATATGGTATCATACACATATAGATCTTGCAAGGCACACACACACACACACACACACACAC